TGTCCGTCTGTCTGTCTGTATATATACGAAGTAGTCCCACAGTTTTTAAGCTATTGATCTGAAATTTTGCACCTCTCTTTTACTCAAAAAGAAGCTGCTCATTTGTTGGAACGGAAATGAACAATCGGTAGCAAGTGCTTGTATGGCAAACTCTTTCATTTGACGAGGTATCTTCAAGAAAGTAAGTATGAGTTATTGTTTAAGGCAACAATGAATTCTCTGAAGAATGTTCTGTTAAGATTCGACCACTATATCATATAGCTGCCATACAAATTGAACGATCGAAATCAAGTTCTTGTAAGGAACCTTTGCATTTGTGTAGGGTACTATAGCTACGGTGCAACCGAAATTAACGTTTTCTCTTGTTTAAGTTTTTTTTTTTTTCACTGACGCTGGTTAAAATTTCTTGCGATTATCGTTAAATACCAAAATTGACAGTTTTCGGTGTAACTGATAAAACAAAAGGAGTATACATTGAAACAAACCTTATCCAATCTTCATCATATTTATCCTCTTTTTGTTGTTTTGTTGTGCTTGCCCATTGTTCTGCAGCGAAGCGTATATATTTTTCTCCCAATTAACAAATAGAAATGTATCTAATTGATTGTGTCTAGAAATAACAGTGAATTCCAAAAAGTCACAAACTTTGTGTTGTGTGTTGTATTTTTGGACTTTTGTAGCACCAATGATACTTTTATTTGTAATGACAAAATGAAATTACCTACATAAAGAACAACTCAGCGATTAATTGGAAAGTCGAGAAAATATTTATGTACTTTGAAACATTTTAAGGTTAGGTTTGGTATGCTTGGTTTTGGAAGTATCGTTTTTTTTTTTTTTTTTTAATTAAGTGTGATTTTCACAGTTATGGGACCATGGCTGGTATGAGCTCGCTGAGAAATTAGGTACTATGAAGAGGTAGACAAAAACCTTTTTAGGGCCAAACGACAAATCGTACTATAACAATAAAAAACGTTAACTTCGGTTATACCGAAGCTAGAAAACCTTTCACAAATAAAAGGTTTTCTATACAACCTTATTTGGCAGCTGTATGTTACAGTGGTCCGATCTGATATAATTTCTTCGGATGCTGTAACATTGCCTTGGAACTTAAAAAAGTTTTTCATACAAGCACTTGATTTTTATCGATCAGCTATATGCTATTTGTTATATAATATAACACAAAAATAATTGAGCCAAACAACAACTATAAACAAGTTGCCAGACAAAAATTGTCTCAGATTTCATTATTAATAGTGCGTACGTGAAATTGAAGGCACTTTAAAGATTAGCAGTTTCAAAACTAACATCACTAAAAGTTCGACAACTTTCTAAATGTACACACTTGTACAAATGTATGCGTTTTGTTGGCATACATGCTTTGAAATTTGTTTGTGAAATTAGTGAAATTCAAATTGAACGTGTTTATTTCATGGTCTTCAGAGTTTCAAAGTTTGCTCCAAGATATTAACGGCGTCACTTTAAAGCTGTGAAAACTTCTATGAATTAAACATGAGTCCTGACACGTTATAATTACATTTCAAATATGAAAGTGACGAGTACGCCAGCCGTTAACATGCCTATCAGTGTGAGGGATTGTTAGTGGAAGATAATAAGAAAATAATTAATTTTTAATTTTGTTGTTTTTTGGTTCACAAGTTTTCGGTGGGGTAAATGATTAATGACGTGATTTCCAACTTGTATATAATGTAAAATATTACATTACCCCAACCTAATATAATTAAATGTTTTCTTAAAAGAAGAAGTATTTTGGCTTTGATAATACAGATTTCGTCTACAGCGCCCTAATTGAGGCAATTATCATTTTTTTTTGCTTTGCTTTTCAAATAATCACAAAAAAAAAATGTTTGGAGGAATGAAATCGGGTCATCTGAGTGGTTAGTCGTTGTGGTGCTTATTTTTTGACTTCAGACGTCCACAGACTTCAGCGATTTCCATATTCTGCTTTTCTGTCATTTGTGATCATGCATGATGATGAAAAAAATGTATAGTATAGAGGTTTCCCAAAACATATCCAACCAACAAAATCGGTTAGTAAAAATCGAAGTTTACATGCCGTGGTGTACTCTGTATAATTAAGATTTAGTATATGTTTTGTAAACGGAATTCTAGTAATACACTCTAAGCTGAAGATTTCATTCGTCTCGCAACATCGAAATGTACTTCTGAACCGGTTAATAGTTGATAAAAATCTCTAATATTATAAAATCTCAGTTAGATTGTTTACAGCAACCAGGAGCACTAAATTTTGCTGCTTTTTATTAAAGTTATTGCCCAGTAAGCTATTTAGACATTTTTCCAGGAAAACTTTCACAGAAATCACACGGAAATGAATTCGAAGAGATATTAAGCTACTTTTTTCGACTAGCTTAATCAACCACAGCCTAAGGACGGTTAGAAGTAAATAGATATAAATTTAGTCCATTAGAAATGTATGTATTTGTGGTTAACAATTGAAAGCTATACGGTTTTTAAATATATTAATAAAATGCGATGCAGAATTATGAAATTTATGTTGCTTATGCAATTTTTTTTTACTAGACCTAGGCCCGTTAATAATTAAATTTAATATTAAAATTAAAGTCCCAAATTTTTAGGGAATTTTTTTTTGGTATTTCCAACAAAATTACACCATGGGATCGAAAAAAAAAATAGTTAAAAAAAAAAGCAGTCGAAGAAACGAATAAACAAATTTTTTTTTTGCTTAGCCTGAGGGTAAAATCCGTAGATTATAAAAAAACGAAAATTTTTGGACAAAAGAAACTTTTTTTTTCCAAAATAGGTTAAACTCGAAATTTACTTTAAAGCTCCGCCTCTAGATGTTAAAAAAAAAAATTTTTTTTGTCCAAAAATTTCCCGTTTTTATAATCCACAGAGTTTACCCTCAGGCTAAGCAAAAACAATTTTTTTTTACTACACCCTAAAATATATATACATATATGTTTTTTTTTTTTTTGAGTTTAAATAATGAGAGACAATTTTTGTAGTGCAGTAAATTTCTTACAAAACTATGAGTTTTCCGATTTACAATATAATGATATGTTTTCATTGAGTTATAAAATTCAAAAGAAAAAAAAAATAAAAATTGATTTAAAATAGTAAAACTTTAACTGTTAATATCTTTTAAATGGTAAGGTTGTAGAAAAAATCGTCAAAGACCGTTTCAAGAACATTTAATTTTCAAATATCAAAAAGAAGTAAAATAGAAAACCAAAGGACCTTCGCGCTACCATTAAAAGCTCATGCTTGTAGAGACTTTCTAAGAGGTGTCTATCAACCAATTTTTCAGAATACTAACACTTGGTTTTTTTAACCACCCTATTATGCATATATGTATGTCCTTACACACAAAGGTAAAAATATATTGCAGTGTACTGAAGCAGCTTAAGCTCAAATATGATCAGCAGTGATGATATATTGAGTTATAAAGAATTTTTAGCCAAGCGTGATATTGACAAACAAAGAATAAACCAAAATCCTTATGAGTGAGAATACATGGATCTCTATTGGACTTAAGCATTTAAATGCTCTTACGTAGCTCAAACAGAAAGAGAAAGTTGCTAGCAAAAGAGAAAATAATAGTGCATAATAAAACATGACATAACATAACATATTGCAGCACACAGAGCACAATATAACACAGCATAGCATATTGTAATATAGCACAGCATAGCATAACATAACATAATATACAAAGCATATTATAGCTTAACATAACACAACATAGCATAGCATGACATAATATAAAAAATATAGCAGAGAACAACATTGCATAGCACAACGTAACATTGCACAGCATAGCATAACATAACACAGCATATATATCCTAGCATAACTTATCATAGCATTACATAACATAGCACGACATAACATTTCGCAATTTCCAGTTTGGTGAAAAAGTATGAACAAAAACAAGCAAGTATTTGGAGATTGGGCGGCTTAAAAATAACGAAGGAAGAATTAAGAATATAAACAAAAACAAAAACAAAAATCATCAAAAAAGTAAAACAAAAGAAAAGTGAAAGTATAATAGGAAAAGTACGCATTAGCGGTACACAAAGACCTAACGGTGATATACTGGCATCTGTTTGTGTTTGTTTGTGTAGATGTGTGAAATCAAAGGAAACGAAAGTGAAGGAATTAGGCAAAGTCAACGTATAAGCCCTTGAGCTGCGACATCAATGAGCTTTTGCCAATAGCTAGCGGAAGAAAAAACAAAGACAAGAACCATAGCAAAACTAAGGTTGTTAAAATAAGCGTAATACAAAATATTATATTGAATCTTTGAAGAACAATTTACAGTTAAGAGCCTCGAATTAGACGAAGACTTCAAAGAGGAGAAAAAAATTTGCAAAAATAATTAATTTTGCCTGCATTATGTGAAACACATGCATATACATACATATATTATATATATAAGCGAGCGCATACAGAGGTGCGCATAAATTAAAGCAACACCATTAACAACAACTCCAACAAGCATTTGCAAATTTGACGCTTGAAACTAGTTTGTGCACTTAACACTGCTAATTCTCTCTGCGAATTCACAAATTATAAACCCACAATGTCACCGTGCTGTCACATTAAGACCGAACGGAGCACATGCGCGCCTCTTATGACAACGTCTACATGAGCCGGACAAAGCAACAATCACGTCGAACGTAATTATTTTGCGGAATCACTAAGCTAAGGAGATATGCCGACTGCTTACACGCGTATGGAGTGGGCCGTGCCGACGAAGGCCACCACTGCCACAACACCAACACCCACAGCCACAGCAGCGCCGAGCATGTATTACGATGACCAACAGCTGCTGCAACAACAGCAACAGCTACAGGTGGACACAAACAGCATGATGGACCAGCTGCTTAATGATACTCTCATGTTGCAGGACAAGAGCGCCGTGCCACTCGATGACATTAATACGACGAGTTTCAGTTTCGATCAACACAACAACAACAGCAGCAATAGCAACAGCACACTGTACACTTTGGATGACAGCAACGAAACACTGCACACATTGGCGATGCTCAGCATTATGTTGAACTATTATTATGTGCCGATTTTGGTAGTTGGCGGCAGTTTGGGCAACATACTGTCGGTCATTGTGTTCTCCACCACGAAATTGCGCAAATTGTCGTCGAGCATTTACTTGGCGGCGTTGGCCGTGAGCGATACGTGTTTCTTGTGGGGACTCTTCATACAGTGGTTGAATTTCATCGATATTCAAATATATAATCGTGAATTCTTCTGTCAATTCTTTACGTTCTTCAGCAGTTGGGCGTGCTTTTGTTCTGCGTGGTTCGTGGTGGCGTTCACCGTTGAACGCTTCATTGCTGTGGCGTTCCCACTTAAGCGGCAGACAATGTGTACGGTGCGTCGTGCGAAGTTCGTCATCGGCGCGCTAACTGTAATGGGCGTATTGCATTGTGTGCCATTTTACGTTTCGTCGGCGCCCATTTATTCGCACAAATTGGAGGCGGTCTTATGTGATGTGAATTCGGATTTGAAGGTGAGTACTTTTCGTATTGTAGTTCTTGGAAATTGTAGGAGAAGCACGTGATTGAGGTGGAGGAAGTATTTTTGGCTGCAAAAACTTACAGAAACACAAAGCTGTAACCGAATGCTATTCATTAATTCTCAAGTACATTTTTTAGGAAACGGAAATCTATGCAATGGTACCACAGATACTTCCTTTATTCAATTATCTTTGAATTCATTAAATATCGGAAGTGTATTCATGTGAATTAACCGGTTTCATTTAACACTCATTTTTCTTTAAATATAAATAGATTTAATTTCATTTATTGGGTCTATAACTATATTCGTTTTTTTTCAAAAGTTGAACCTTTATTTCAGAAAAATATGTGCAAAGTCTTATTCAAAGTATTACCTATCAGAAGTTACCAATCTTTCTGGCAATTTGTGGTTTCAATCCCAAAAGAACGGCGCCGGTTTGGCGGCCAAGAATAAATCAACCCAATTTTCAATACTCTGTTCTGATGTAAACCTTATTCCAGTGAGGGGTGCGTCGTACGGAACAACTGATAGTCAGAAGGGGACCGGTCTGGGCTATAAAACGTCTGGGTTATAAGAAGGTTAAAGCAAAACTTCCCAGCTGATGTTTTCCAAATAGTTTTTAACCTCGTGCAATATGAGGCTAAGCGTTCTCATGATGCAAAACTATTACCTCGTATTTAGTCTCACATTCCGGGAACTTTTCGGCTATCGCTCGTTTCAATTAGATGAGTTGTTATCGCTAGCGTTTTTCAGTTACGGTTTTTCCCGATTTGAGAAGCACATAGTACAGTAAGCCTTTCTGATTCTACCAAATACAGAGAGAGAAATATAAATTCTTTGACGTCAGAGATATTCGGCTTTGCCGTTGAATTGGCAGGTTGGCCATATTTCACATATGAATTTTTGCGTACAGAGTTGTCGTAATGGTTCCATTTTTCATCATCTGTCACAATCCGAACAACTTTTTTTTTTGTTCTAACATCTCTTAGCTTCAATTCATATTTCCAATTTCTAGCTTTTAAACTAATGATTTTGCGAGCACTTATTGTGTGTGACAACAATCTTCATCTAGTAATGCTTTCAGTTTCTCATCCTCAAACTTTTTAGGAGGCTCAAGATGTTTTTCGTCGTTCAAGCTAGAATTCCAAGTTACTTTTAAATCATGCAAACTACTTTTGACTCGTTCGCTCAGCTAAAACATGTTCGTCATAAATTTCCACCAAAATACGATGACTTTCGGCTAAGTTTTTCTTCATATTAAAGTAATGAAGAGAAACTCTTGGTAAAAACAATTTGCTATTGCGGTCACTTACTCTAATTATAATATCTAAATTACATGATTAAATACCAAATATATGAAATCGGGATTAAGAGCCCGTATATACCCAATAACATTTTTTCTACCTAAATAGCCAGCTTTTACATTTAGCATTATGACGTTTTAAGTCAGAAATCAGTGAAATCGTCGAAATAGTCTGATAACCTCCAAATGATCATTTATACAATTCTCCTTCTTCCGATTGTTTGTCTCGCATAAATCGATCAATATGTTGTATAACTTAAAGATATACATTTTACATGTTTTTTGGACATAGTAAAATTTAGGGTCAAAATGCGTTCAAGACCTTTCGCTAGCCTCTGCATACTTATTGTAATTACTTCCGAGTCTCGGATCGACTTTACACCGTACATATCGGTTAATGTTGCAGATATATCCGTAAAATGTAAGCGAAAACATTTTAAACGCGTTTCCCTCCTAACAAGTGGTTGGCTTAAAATTTGTAGAACATTTTTATCCAAAAATATATTTAAATTTATATTTAATACAATTTATGAAATGGTAATTTAATCTAATAAAATTCGATTGTAATTTAAATTCACTTAATCTCTCTTAATTTGAGTTTATTTAATTAAATTATGGCAGATATATTGAAACTCAACAAACACACTCAACTACTAATAAAATATATTGAGCCAGATGTTATTTCTGGGAATACAAACTTGCATAGAGTTTTAAAAACTAAATGTTGCCTACATTTTGGCGCAATACCAAATGCTATTGAAATCAAGCACCTACTAAAAAATTAATAATATATATATATATATATATTTCTATTATGGTAGAGATTTAGATACAGTTTTAGTAAAAATAGGTAAATAAATTTTTCTTAAAGTGTATTGCATAATTAAAGGCTTTTTAAATATACTAAGAATATTATTCATACGAAAGATGAATTTTGCCAGCTTAGCATCATTGTTAAGACAGTGCTAAAGATTGTTATATAAATTTTCCAACTAAAAATATATTATATACTACAAAAAAGTCTTTTTTCGAGTAATCGAAAAAGCTCTGCTTCGGATGAATTTTAAAAAACCTTTGTGAGCAGATGCATTGTTGAATGAAAAATGATTTTTTTGTGCTGCAAACCCCTTTTCTCAGGAATTTTTTCATCCACATCCTCAGTTATAAAACGACGCAAGAAATCGGGTTTATTCTACTTAAAACGCTCCAAATTATGCTGAGAAATTTGCTTTCAATTAAGTTTTTGTTGAATTGTTAACGTGTGCTTTCCAAACAGCCGTTTCATATGTAATTCTCAATGTAAAATATGAAATACTCATGCGTCTGAGATGCCTATGGCATTAGCAATTTCACGCTTAATCAAACTTGGATCTTCACTAACAATATTATGAACTACAATAGCTCAATGATTTCTGGTGTGGGTGCGGTTTTTGGTCATCCTACGCATGGATCGTCTTCAAGCCTAGTACGATAAGTCTAAATTCACCAGCCCAAAATTTAACTTTGCGTTTTGAAGGTGAGCACTGCTTATACACTTCTAACAATTGTTCATAAATTTCTTAAACCTTTCAAAACAAAGAATCTAATCACGGCGCGATATTTAATTTTTTCCATTTTAAAAAAATACTCTAACACGTCAACTACAAATAGCTTGTAAACAAATAATTTATTGATAGAATGACTTATAACTTTGTATGTGTTCTGACGAAACATGTACCAACTTGAGAAAAAATAAATTGGAACTAGTAGTGCTATTTCTTGCTGAGAGCAAAAACTTTTCAACCAACTTGTACAAACAGCCAGAAGGATGCGTTGGACACTCTATAAAGTGTATATATAAATGATACGCGAACTGTTCCCTCAGTTTTGAGATATCGTTATGAAATTTCGCATATGTGTTTTGCTCTTCAAGAAACTACTCATTTGTCGGAACCGCCGACATCTGATCACAATAAGATATAGCCCTGTCCGAACGATATCAAGTTTTTATAAGGAAAAATTTTTATTTGGCAAGATATCTTCACGAAATTTGATCTGTGAAGGGAATTATAGCATCGGTGCAGCCATAGTCAACATTTTTTTTAAATTTTTTTGACAACAGTTTCGTAAAATTTAAAGCAGCAGACTGGCAATGTTAAAGGAATATTAAATTTTACTTTTTAATAAGCATTCAGTAGAGAGCTTATGATAATAGCGCTTCTCTCCTTGTTATGTACGACCTTTGGCTATATAGTATACTTGACGTAGACTTAAAAGCCGCTTAAGCTGATTTCGACTGTCAGTTTCTCTTATGCGAAGGCACAGAAATACTTTTGCGTAAGTTGTTATTGTACTTACAGCCTAATTGTATGCAACGTTTTATCCTTTTTTATATGTCGCTGCTGGTACTGCATATTACAAAGTCTGCAATTTTCCTTAAACATCTTTCATTAATTCAGACAGTTGAAGACTCCCAACCGCTGTGGTGTTTCTATTCGAGTAAAAGTGCTTTTCTTGGAAGTGTGCAAAATATCGCATAACTACTTCTATAGTTTCAATACGAATCAAAAAGGCAAATATTTTAAATTTAACAGCCTAAAGGTGCGCTGACGTTTGTTTTTTGTTTTTGTGTGTATTATTTATCGTAAAACCTACAGCGCGTGTTACATTCTATATTTTGTTTTTTTTTTGTCCAATTATATAAAGTATTTTTGCGCCGAAACAGAAAGCAAAATTTAGGGTATTTACATAAAGATGACGGCAAATATAAATAACATAACAAATAAAAATAATAATAAAACAAATGTCAATAAGTCAGTCACGTTCTGTCGCGCTAATCTAGAATAAGTCTTTGGTGTTTGTTTTTTTTTGCTACCCTTTTGTTTCAGTCAAGAGCAAAAATGACTTGTTGCGTTTAACAATAAAGGAAGCGATGGGCTTGGCTTACAAGCTTTTAAGGCACAGCAAAAGTAACAAACTTAACTGTACAATGTATCAATATCGGTAGCTCTGGGGGAATAACCTTTTATTTAATGTTTTCGACACTTTTTAGTAAATGCGAAAATTTTCCATACCCATTTGCATACATATGAACACATATTCCAATTTAAGGCTTCTCTCGGAGCAAACGTTAAAAAACAGAGTGAGTGAGGCGTCGTAGCGTGACAGGCAAAGAGCCAGTTTTCACTCAAATTTGCAGTTCGCCACATTTCAAAATATGTGTTTCGTTTGTTTTTAGCTTTTAGCTTGTACCATTTGGTATGATTTCAAACAAACGCACCTATTTACGAATAAGAAAAGCAAAGTAAAACACTAGCTTCGGTTGCAGCTATAGTACCCTTCACAAATAAAAAAGTTTTTCGCACAAATACTTGATTTTGATAGATAAATTTCTTCGGAGATTGTAGCCTTGATTTAGACAGTAATCCATGCCGAATTTTGTGAAAATATCTCGACAAATAAAAAGATTTCCATACAAAGACTTGATTTGGAATGGTCAGTTTGTACGACGGCTATATGTTCTAGTCGTCCGATATCGACGGTTCCACCAATGAGCAGCCTCTTATGGAAACCGCACGTGTGGAAAGTTTCACCTCGATATCTCAAAAACGGAGTGACTGGTTCACGTATATACAGACAAACAGACTGACCCACATGGATCAATCCACTCAGCTCGTCCGCTAACGATTTACATACATATTAGACATACT